ATCCTGGAGGTGATTGTCCACGGAGGTCGCAGCAGTTATCGATGAACAATTTCGCTTTAGGACATCGTGCTATCACGAGACTCGATCTATTGATAAGTTTTTTCAGCACTTTACCATTATTTTATCCAACAAAAAATATATCTCAAAAGTTTAGAAACTTGTGAATTTGAACGCAATGGTGGCTGACACTCCCGACAATAACTCATATAAAGATATCTTATCCTACATTTTTCCAGCAAGCTCAATTAGCTTGTTTGGGAGAGACTTTTCCAAATGAGAAATAATTTTCTTTTTTGAGAATGTATGGTTAATAAGTAGAAAAAAATTTTGGATCCTATAAAATATGTGATTGAAAATGATTCTGGGGAAAATGATTTTCAAAAAAATCTCTGCCAAACAATCTCTTAGATCCTATACCTAGGCTCTGTTTGAGCCAAATTATTGTAGAATGAGAATGAAAAATATAGTCGTTATTGGAGTCCACATAAGATATAGAAAATTTGAATTTAAATATTGATGTAAAGGATAACGGTCATATTTTTCATTTTAATGAGATAATAATGTAGATCAAACGGGGGCCTAATTTAGTGAGCCAATATTTCCACAAATATGATGGCTTGGAAAGCAAGTTGGTTGCACTTATGCCCTCGTTCAATTTCAGGGAAAGGAATGCAGACACACCCCCACAGAGAGTTGGTATGTTGTCATAATGTATAGGCCCTGTTTGAGCCAAATTATTGTAGAATGAGAATGAAAAATACAGTCGTTATTAGAGTCCACATAAGAGATAGAAAATTTGAATTTAAATGTTGATGTGATGGATAACGGTTATATTTTTCATTTTAATGAGATAATAATGTAGATCAAATGGGGGCATAGTGTAAAGACAGTGGGTCTCAAGGATCTACCTAATGCCTCCGCCAGCATGATAATTCGAGAGATGCTTACAAGGGTGCTGGATACTTCAGATAAAAAAATTGATTCGCATGAACACGTACCCTCATGGTGTAGCCCAGATGCACAAAATGTAGTTTGTCGGGCTCCCACATTAAGGCCACCTATCATTCTTTCTGATATCTGCATGTATAAAAATTGGGTAAGGAATCAAACTAATAGATGATGAAACAAAAGAAATTTTCATGAAGCATGTAAACAAGTGTTTGCAGCTGCCCGAGAAAACAAGAAAGCATCCGTTAGTGAGATGGACACAGGGTTGGCAATTACATATAGTTCAAAACATGTGTATAAATGTCCGCAATATATTTTCTTTGAAATGTAAACCATATATGCACATATGAATTGACAGGATATACCAGGTTGAGCTCTTGTATAACTTTTTATTGAACAAAAAAATTCTAAAGCTTGCAGTTGGAAGGTATCATACAGATAGTGCTCATCAAATTTCAAATACAGTGGAAACTAATTAAAAAAGAGTTGTTCATAGTTGCATTTAATTTGACAAGTTTGATACACGTGTGGCAGAATGTAATATTTTAGTGGACATGAATAACTGTAATGGGTACGAACACAGTGGCTATCGAAACGATAAGTTTTAGATGAAATGATAAAATAAAACAAAATCTTGTTTAAATTTTCTAAGAACATTAGAACTTATAAAGCATATCTCACCTCCGATCTCATTAACCATCTGCTTTCATTTCTGCGACGATGTCTAGCTTTCAAGGAATCCATATCATGACCAACTTCATCATTATGGATACGACCAATATCTAGGAGCCATCTGTCGTGGGAACCTAGTTCACCAGCATGACCAGTGGCAAAAACCATGGTTGGGGAATCTCTCCGTCTTGATAAAGCATCCCAAAATAGCCTCCTACTATCTTTTCTTGCTTCGAAACTATTTCTTTCTGAAATTCTACTGGATAGAAAGTTCGAGGAGATATTCACCACGTTGAGATGAAGATGATGTCCACTTCTCATATCCCCGGCATTGTTAGAAACAAGAAATCCTGGACTAGAAGTTGTTGTCATGTGAGCACTTTTATCCCCAGGCAACTGAAGATGTGGTAAAGAATCAGAAGCAATAGAACGTGACCTTAAATTTGTGGTCAACAACTGCATTCTATTGATATTCAACATCTGAATGTGAATTATGCACGAGACTGCTTGATGGATCATTACCCTTCTGTTAAAAGGGATTACTCACAATATCATGATTCTTATTCCACTATAAATCCTTGCCGTTGAAATGAAAACTTACCTGATGGGAAACTGGTTCCTTATTATTTAAGAGGTGTGCCATATATCTGCTTGCTTTTACATTTAACTGTTCAACCAAAGCTTCCTCAATAATACTGTCATCGCTTCTATGATTCCGCGGTCTCAATTATGGAACTTGTATCCCCAACCTCTGAACTGAACACTGAAGAAAATTCTATGATGGAGTTATGCGAAAAATCACTAGTTGGGGCTAATTTTTTGTAGAATTTGCTGATGATTCCTGAGAATAATCTTCTAGCTTCAAGGAAGAGTGTTATAATACGTCAATGATCATCTCAAATAAGAACATAGAAGATGAAGTATAGATAAAAAAAATGTTATAATCAACGACATCAAATTTTAGGAAACTCTCGAAGAAAGGCGAATGTTAATTAGTTAGATCCTCCAAGTTATATAGATACAAACTTTTGGAAGAACTAGTACTCTTAAATTGCTTTCATGAACACATTAAGAGAAAAAGAACTGCAACAAGTTTTGTTAATGCTTCTTTTTATTCATATTGAAGATATCCTACTTCTGTTTTCTGTATAATGTTTCTGACAACCATAATTTCAGTATGTGACAACATGACTTTTAAGTTTGGGCTTCAGTGAATCAATCAAAATAGAGCATCTTAAAGGTCAAATTTGAAGGTTGGATACTAATTCCTGTTGGGAATTGAACCAATACAATATACAAACAGCGGAAACAATATTATATCAATCCCTCAATGTTCTGAATTAAAATGACGGGAATAATGACTAGCTCCAACCAACTCACACATACTAGCAAGAAAATAAATTGAACACCAGATTTTTGTTAACGAGAAAAACCATGTGAAGGGAAAAACTCCGGGACCTAGTCCAGTAAAAGCCTTCCACTATAAAATAATGGGATACACAATAAACCTCTCAAGAACACACTCTTGAGGCTACCACAACATCAAGAATTCATCTAATTCTTGGATATCAACCACAACAACATCATAAACCAAATACACACTATAAA